AAAAAAAAAGACCATGGAAAGAGCTGGATTAAGTTCAAAGAGCTATATAAACAGTTTCAAATAGGGTGTGACATTCATTCAACATATATTTATTAAGTTCCTGCTATATGTAAGGCATATGCTTAACGTGCCTTGAAGGTGTGGGTTACTCTGACGTGAAGGTATAATGGGTTATGCGTGGGGCTGCTGATCCCAAGGTCGGCAGTTCAAAACTACCAGCCACTCCATGGGAGAAAGATGAGGCTATCTGCTCCCAGGGAGATTTTATAGTCTTGGAAACCCACTGGGAGGGCTCTTCTCTGGCCTATAAGGTCATTGTAGTCTGCATCAACTTGATGGCAGTACGTTTGTTTTTGTTTCGATGTGAGGCATAGTTCTAGGTGTGGCAATGGCAACACTGTTATTTGGCTTTAAAATAAAGAATGCTGGCTATAGTGCAGTGCGGGGGAAACAGAACTGGAAGAGAGTGTATGAGGCCAAACTCTCAACATTCACAGGTTAAGGAGTCTGGGAGGCCAAGGATCCCGTGGAGGTGTGTGGAAGAAACCTTCATGTCCTCCTAAGTGAAAGTCCCCCATAATAAGGCCAGTTTTAAAGTGCTGTTTGCAAACATGACGATGCTCATGGAGTATCGTCTTAGCAGTGGTTCTCAACCTGCCTCATGCCGTGACCCTTTCGTACAGTTCCTCATGGTGTAGTGACCCCAACCATACAATTATTTTTGTTGCTATTTCATAACTGTAATTTTGCTACTGTTATGAATTGGGGGACCTCTGTGAAAGGGTCATTCAACCACCAGAGGGGTCGCGACCCCCATGTTGCAAACCACTGGCTTAAAGACTATCTCCCTAAAGGTTATCTGCCATCGAAAGTAATCAGACCCTATTGTCTGTCAGCCTAAGTAGGACCCACTCCTTTCTGATAAGGATCATAGATTGTTCCCTTGGAGAAGAGCCCAAAGTCACTTAAGGTCAAGCCAACTCAGAGGACCAAGGTTAGGTTGCCATCTTGACTCTAGAGCCCGCCCATCTTGCTATGCTGTGCCTTCCTGTCACATGTGTGCCCCTAGTACAACCTCTTCCTATTGCGTGTACGCCCCTAGCTCATCCCCCTCCTGTTATGTGTATGCCTCTTGTACAACCTCTTCCTGTTACGCATGTGCTTACCGTGGCCTGGGTGTCCAAGATTATATGAGCACTCTCTAAGCACCTGAGATTTACATTACTCTTTCTCTCTCTGCTTGGATCTGGCTCTTGAGGTCATGACTGAGGAGGTGAGCCCTTGCATGCTTTATCTTGTCTGATGTCTCTTTAGTTTATCCCTCCATTACACAACCACCCCTTGGACCCATTCACTTGTGGGGAGGCTGGTCCCCAACAGGGTAGACCATGATTGGGAGGGTGAGTAAAACCCAAACCCAACTCCCTGCCATCAAGTCAATGCTGGCTCATCACAACCCTGTGGAACATGATAGAAGATGTAGAACTCTCTGGGACGGAACTAAACTGCATCTACGCTAACGGATGGGCATTCCCAGAGAACACTGGAACACACGTGCCACAGATACCGAGCACTGTCACACTCCAAGGTGGAAGTGAGAATTCACGGGAAGAATTCTGAATGAAAGCTGAATTCTAAAACTTAGGCCAAAGCTCCTGACATGGGCTATCCTAGAGTTTACAGTTCACCTTCACCTTGTTGCCCCGTGGAGAGAACGTGTGTAGACCTCCTAGCTGTCCATCTCCTGACCAACCCTGCACATTACGCAGCTGGTGGAATCTAGGCTCAGAGAAGAACACTGCCCAGGCTCCCCCAGAGTCCGAGTGGCACAGCTCGGAGTGGCTAAACCACAAGCTCCAGGAGTGTGTGGAACAGGTCTGTGCAGGCAGAGTGGAGTCCCTCACTACACGCTACACACATGACTGTCCATAAGCAGCGCGGGCTGCTCTATCGGGAGACTCGATGGCAGCATTCGGAAGGAAGCTAACAGTGTGAATTTACATGAATGCTGGACCGTGAGAGTGACGGCTCTGAAGCTGGGAGGAGAGGTGAAGGAGGCATCCACAAGGCCTCCCAGCGAAGGTGAGCCCAATGCAATGGAAGGAAGCAGATGGGAGATAAGACAGCTAGCAGATGGAAATGTTTATTTCTCTGCCCTTTGACAGGAAGTTCAGACTCAGCAGCTGTCACCAGGCAAGGACCATGTCCAGGTCGGGGAGAGAAGCTCTTACCTGAAGGCTCCCAGGCCATGGGAGAAGATGATCAAAGGGTACCCAGAGTCCTTTGTCTTAAAGGGGCCGTTCCAGCTGACAGGCAGGCGACAGGATCCTAGCAGAGACTTGGGGTAAAGAACCTCTGGCTGCCCCTCAGCTGTAATGTCAAGGGCAGCCCGAGCACAGGCAGTGGAGGGAGGGGGCGCATGTGTTCCTCCACTCTGGAGAGCCACTGCGCCCCCTGGGCACCCCAAGTCAGATACCCATACTCCTTCTCCTCGTATTCTTTAGGAAGCAGGCGTACGATAGAAAAGAGAAAAATGAATGCAAAGGGGTAATTCTGAATCACTATGGGAAAACCCCCAACATGCAAGGCAGTAGGTCGAGCTTCTAGGGGCAGGGTTTAGGGGTGGGGGAGAGGTTGGCTCCTTCAGTGTGCCCCTGCCGGCAGAGGGAAGAACTACAGGTGGCTTTATGCGCCTTGCTAGCTAAGAACGTTTCTCTGAGCTATGCAGCAGCAGGCACCAAGTGGGATTCATACATGCTGCCTAAATGAGCAAGAGCCACCGTTGCCAGCACACACTCGGTCGCAAGCACTACACTACATGCTTTACGTACATCCACAACCACCCTGCAAAGTAGGCCTGCAACAGATGAGAAAAACCAAGCCTCAGACAGGTCCAGTAACCTGCCCAAGACCCATAGCTAGTAAGTGATAGAGGCTGGATTTGTGCCCAAGGCAGTGGAGGTGCAAAACCCAAGCACTTGGGCAGATGGTGATCGCCCAACTTTCCACACTACACTGAGCAGATGAATAACACCCCACTCCCAAGGGCGGGGACAAGCCCCTGTCCTGAACCGTGCACACTAACAGCTGCTGGGTCTCCCAGGGACACCACCAAGTACCTAGAAAGGCACCCAGGCCTCAGGCCAGCCCTTACCCACAGCCAGGTTGAAGAATAAGGCTCCCCAGAGCTTATTAATCTGCAGGTAATGGGCCAGGCCAGCGCAGTACTCGTGGCGGGGAATCCACAGGGGCTGTTCCGTGGTCACTTCTGTCCCCTGACAGGGGTAGAAAAGGCGGAAGAAGCTCCCCTGCGGGGAAAGAAGAGTTCAGCTGCTGAGAGAGCAAGAAGCCAACACGCCACATTTCCCAACACATTACAGGAGGGAGGGCAGGGGTTACAGGAAGCCAGCGTGTGCGCTCAGGAGGCAGGCAGGGGAGAGGCTAGCAGAGAAAGACCTAGGAACTGACCAAGGAAAAAGGGAAAACCAGAAGTCAAAAAAGAAAAGGGTGTCTGTCTTTGGGGAGCAGGGGTGGGGGAGATCCCCAGGTGGGCTTTGTGCTCAGAGGAGAGTACATTGTGGGGTGGATGGCTGCTATGGTAGCTGGGTCAGACTGTGACACTGCGTCATTGTAGCCCCCTCTGGATCCAATGTATAATAGACCCTTTTTTACTATTTTCTACTTTGTGTCTGAATGAGGTGTTTCTGTTTCACTCTGCCATGGTTGGGGGTCTTGGTTTGGGTGTTCTGTCTATGAAATCCAAGATGGGTAACCCTATAGAGCCAACAGTGGATTCGTAGTTTCAAAGGGCCGTGGCAGGGGAGGTGGAAACGGAGAGCTAGCGACCGGCAGGACCAGGAGGAAGCAGTGCCCTGGAACTGACTGCGGTGGTGGCTGCCCAACTCCTATGAACGCGATTGAACTAGTGAAATGTATGCTGTGTGAATTTTAGGTCGGCCAAAGGGCTTACAAATAAATGCATCTTTCAAGGGGGGGTGGGGAGGCAGGTGGAAGCAGGAGGGAGAGAAAGGGGAGTCCCCCTCCTCAGCTCCAGGCGTCCAAGGCCAGGGCCCAGGGCCCACTGTTTTCCCTCTCACACTCAGATGCAGATGAGCTCAAACACTTCCAGGATCTGCCCTTAAGTAAGGACACAGGATCTGCGAGCTGCCTTCAAAGCCCTAGCCTCTCCCCCACCCCTCCTGGCAGCACTGGGGTGTTGATAATTAGGAGGAGGAGGTGGAGGCGAAGGAGGAGGAGGAGGAGGAGGGGAAAGGTCAGGGCAGACAGACATGGAACCTGAGAGGCAGACTCACTTGGGCTTTCTAAATAAATCCAGAGCAGCGGGGACTCCCGTTTCCCCCACCCAGACTAAGCAATCAGACTTGCTAGCAGAAAGCCAGGGTGCCGCGGTAGGGTGGGAGGTATGCAAGGGCAGAGTGGGAGGCACTCACCTGGAGCCGCTCACCCTCCATCACATCCCCGCAGCCCACCAGGTGAGGTCCTGTGACAGGTGGGAAGCCCACGGACTGGCTGACTCCCATTTCCTCACCCGCGGGGTCAAACGACTGGCTCGGAGCTGAAACGTGGCGGGCTGGAGGGGGAACATAGAACACCCTCTTGCTGGCTTCCTCTTAGCTTCCTGTTGCTGACTTGAGCCATCTGCCACCCCTGTCACCCCAGCCTCCGTGCAAGCCACTCTTTACACCAACCTGGACGTTACCAGCTTTGTGACCCTGACTTTGCCAAGGCCTGAGGGCTACTTTTTTCTTCCCTTCTCGTGGGGTTGGTTGTGGGGAGGAGTGCGTCCGTATTTCTCAAGTGTTTAACTCAGGGCCCAGCACAGAGTAACTGCTGCAGAGACAGCTACACAGAATTTGTTCCTAGGATGCTAATAACCAAGGTTCTTTACACACGCTGCCTCCTTTAATTCTCCCAACTTTCGGGGGGAGGCACTAGTAGTAAGACCCTATGTTACAGAAGAGGAAACTAAGGCAGAGAGCCGCTGGCTCGTGTCCCCATAGGTCTCTTGAACTTTAGAAACTGAGCTCCCAACCACCAGGGGTTCTGCTAGTGAGGAGACTCGGTTCCCATGTCCCTGACCGATCCGGTGTCACAGGAATTCAGAAGAGGAAAAGGCAATGAGAGTGTGCAGGGATAGTTGGGGAAGGCTACTTGGAAGAGGTGGCACTTGTGCTGGGCCCCTGAACGATGAGAAGATTTAGAGAGGCGGGGACGATGAAGGAAAATCTTCTAGAAAAGAGAGACTGGGAGCAAAGGCAGATAGGGAAGAGTATGTTGTGGGCAGCGGAACTCCCAGCAGCCTTCACGGTGACAGGGACACCCACTGCTGATGAGACGATAAATCTAGTGACTTGGGCTTCCTAAACTGGCGCACATGTCATTGGCGCTCCCTGCTCCTCTTCAACTTCATCATCACCTCCACCACCATCCTTTACTGGGCACGGACTCGGCATCGGGAAATCTAAGTGCCTTTCAGAAGCTGAAAACCCCCAAACGGACCCTCTGCTATGGAGTCCATTCCAACTCGGACTGACCCCACCGGGCAGGGCAGAACTGCCTCATGGGATTTCCAAGGCCGTGAGTCTATGGGGAGGCAGCCCGCCACATCCTTCTCCCTCGGAGTGGGAAGGAGGGTCAAATCTCGACCGACCGTTGGTTGAGCAGCCCACTGCGTTCCCCCTACACCATCAGTGACTCTTCAAGTGCGTGCCTTATGGTATTACATTCAATCCCCACGACAGGGCGCTGAGGTCTGTACTCTGATCCCATTTTATAGATGAGGAAGCTGCTGTTTGATAAAGTTAAGCATTTCCCCAGGCTGGCACAGCTAACACAGTGAGACTCTGCCAGGAGCAATGTGACTGTCAGCTGGATGATATGGTCAGACTCGCCAGTGTCCAGTCTCTCCTGTACCCTCTGGGTAACACAGCCGTGTCGAGCTGATGCTTCCTGAACCTTCGGCAAACCCAAACCAAACTCACTGCCATTGAGGTGACACCGACTTATGCAGTGCCATAATATAGGGTTTCCAAAACTGGACACCTTTCTGGGAGCAGACAGTCTCATCTTTCTCCCATGGAGTGGCTGGTGGGTTTGTTGTTTCCGAGCTAGATGGCTGCTTGTTTGCCTACAAGCCTTTAAGACCCCAGACGCTATATCTTTTGATAGCTGGGCACCATCGGCTTTCTTCACCACATTTTCTTGTGCACACATATGTCTTCAGTGATCATGTCGGGAAGGTAGATATCATGAAATGACCTTTAGCTGAGCAAGGAGCTCTTGTATTAGGGGAGTGCGCGTGAGGAGGCCCAATGTCCACCTGCCACGCTACTACCAAACCTATAATTATTTGCACCTAGGTCTGTTCCCTCTTTTTCTCCTGTGGAGTGGCTGGTGGATCTGAACTGCTAACCTACCAGTTAGTAGTCCAATGCATAAGCCACGACACCACCAAGGCTCCTTAGGAAGTGCGACAAGTTCTTTCTTGTTTTCAACCAGTGTGATGTGCAGGTGTGAGTGCTTGACCTGTGCAGCCATGTTGCTCTCCTGGGGAGGAAGCTACCCATGGAGGAGGGCAGAGCTGGGAGGACCACAGAGAGATGGGGGCTTCGCCTGAAGACAGTCTCCAAACTCAGTTAGACCACAACTGAAAGCTAACCCTGACCCACCGACACTTTCTAAGTCACTACATTCCCTTTTTGTTTAAATCAATTGAGGTGTTTGTCCTGTAACCCAAAGCATCAGATACACTAACTCTATTTTTAATAGAGAATTGCCCGTATTCTCAATCACTACACTATTTTGCTTTTTTGAAGATGCTCTGGGAGGGATTAGATCACGTCCAGGCATGTCTGGGCAAGAAGAGACCTTTGAGATACTTTTACCTGCCCTCTCAGCCCTCTTTGCTCCCCCCTGCAGACAGGCACCGCCCTGATGAAGCAGCCAGGCCCTGAGGGGGAAGCGAGCAGACTGCCGGGTCTGATGGGAAACCGCCATCAACGTTAATAATAATGTCCCTCTATTTAAGTTTGAAGATAACTGGTTATCTTTTTACTGCACACTTGACTTCTTCATTCTGTTTCTGAAGCAAACGTTCAAGGTAAGTCCAGCTCTTTCTAAAAGAAGCAACGTTCCTGATGCACTGTCCAGAGCGAAGTTGGACGGGTGCTGCTCGGTCTCAGGCCCTGACCCTTCCCTCTTGGGATCGAGGGCATGCACAGGGAAGGCGCAAGGCTGGGAGCACAAGACATGTCACGCACATGACAATAAGGCAGCTACGCTCAGACTGCCACAAGAGAGAGCCAGGTAAGATACCAGAGGTTCTGGGGAAGGAGAACCCTGCCTTGGCCGTTTGCTTGGTCGTGAAGAGCAGGGAAGGCAGAGCTGGCCTTCCAGTGGTGCAAAGCGGGGGAAAGGCAAGAAAGCGCACCTGGGAGACTGTGCATACTGATTGCCAGGAGAGGCTCTGGCCAGATTTGGGGAGTAGCAGTCTTTCCAGTCCCAGACTGGCTCCTAGCAATGCCCTGTGGGTTTCCAAGGCTGGAACTGTTTACGGGAGTAGCAAGCCCAGCCTTTCTCCCTTGTAGCTGCTGCTGGTTTCAACCTGCCAACCATGTGGCTTACAGCCCAACGCGTAACCACTACGCCACCAGGGCTCCCTAGTCCTAGACCGAGGAGCTAGAAATGAGATCGTGGATATGAGTGATGCAAGCTTTGAGAAAACCAAGCCAAACCATTTTGAGTCCAGCTCCTTTGCTGCGTAGCTTTCTGACCTTGGATGCGCTAACTGGTCTCTGTAAGCCTAACTTCCCTAACTCCCCAAGGGCAGCACAACCTACTCTCGTTGGATTGCAATACAGATTAAGCAGTGAAATTAAAAATGCCTAGTGTACTCCCTGGCTTTTAGGAAGTATCCAAGAAACACATATTTGTTGACTGATCAAAAAGTAGAAGCCAAGCAACTGAGTGGATGTGGGGAGACGAGGGGAGGGGAAAAGCAGAGAAGGCAGGTTTTAGGACCAGGCTGACAGGAGCTTCTTAAGTGCGGCCGTAGTTACATAATTCTGTGTCAACTTGATGTGTAGGGGTAGAGACTAGCCTGTCAACTGGGTCCCAGCCTGTTGGTGCCTCTTTGTGGGTGTGACCTCCTCATAAGGAGGGGTCTGGGAACCCCCCCCCCCTCTCTGCTTCACCTTCATGCCAGCCAGCCACCACGCTGAGACCTGCGCCAGCCCTGGAGTTGCATTCAGTGCCATTGGATCCACAAGACTTTGCACCCACCAGCCTGTGATCTTCCTGTATCATAGCTTGTGACTGCGTGAGTCTGAAGAGGGACTTATGGACTTGATCTGGACTGGGCTGGGATGTTTTCCTGATACACTTACTTCTTGATATAAAGCTTTCTTAGAGATATAGGAGTGCCCTTGCATTTGTTTCTCTAGCGCAAAGGCTTTTGTCTCTGCCTGCATACGGGGACCACGCGTGGCAGGGGCAGAGGAATCGGCAGCTACGTGCGTCTCTGCCTGCATACGGAACCCAACATGAGAGAGCAGGAGCACTGTGGTAAGTTGTGGGGAAGGTCATCAACTCAATTAAAGCTAGAAAATAAGCAAAGCACATCAGCAGCTAGCTGGCCAGAGTGAGGCTCCCATGGAAATGAACCCAGGGTCCCTGAGCTCACCCTGACTGACGGCTAAGTAGGACAGGAGAGATGGAAAAACTCATCTGACTTGCAGATTTTGCCTGAGACGTCCACGCAGACCATCCAGACGCCTAAGCAATGTCATGGAATTTTCCAAGGCCACCAGCCGAGGTGTCTACCTCCTTTTGCTCACCCTCTCGAAACACCTCAAGGTTATGTCTGTCTGTCTAGGAACGTCGTCTTCCTTCTCTTGACCGTCCGCACCCACCCTACCCATTAAGGTCCAGGGACATCGAGAGTCCTTGGTGAGACGGACTTTGGACGAAAAGTAGACACAGAATTTGTATCGGACACTTCTACCAGCCTTCTCTCTCACAAGACTGTTTCTACCCCTCTGATAACCAATCTCACATTACCGCAGGGCAGTTCTACCAGAACAGCTTTCTCCGAGGAACATGCTTACAATTGGTGGTCCTGTGGCATCAAATCAGAGGTTCCTGAACCTGACTTCTCTCACATTCACTTTGTAATTTTTTTCTTAATGCAGATTCTCGGGTCTCCGTGCCCAGAGGCCTAAGATGCAGGTCAGGAATCAGTTTTTAAAAGCCTTCTCCCAATTGCACCCGATCAGACCCCACCACACTGAGGCAAAGCACTGGGGGAGTGCAGCGAAACGGAACAGCAAGGGAATGGAGCAGCAAGATCCCCAGAGAATGCTAAAGGTGGACTTTGGGGCCAGGGCGTGGTGCCCCAACAGACTGGACTGGAAAACATTCCTAAAGGCCAACGATCCTTGAACTAACTACAAGCTTTTCTTTCTTGGTGTGTTTTAATTTGTTCTTTGTCAGTGGTTTGTTGTTGTTGCTGCTGTTTTGTTGTACATTG